TCTAAAATTTTCGGTTCGTCGGAACGAGGGATGAAGAAAATGGAAAAATTGGGGAACGAGTAGTAGGAAAGCTCGCGAGGAAAGCTTAATCAATCAAATTTCGGTGAAATTTTCGTGGAACGAGGGCGCCATCGTGAAAAGTGTTTTCACCAGTTTCCAATTCAACCGCGCTCCTCAATTCCGAAATGATAAACGACGGGGTGGCGGTTCGGATTGGCGCGTTGTCGTAGCGCGGAATCCGGCGCAATTAGGATCCGGCCAAGTATTTGTTCGTTAAATCGACGAAATGAAAGCAAACTGCACGCGTTAATTTCGCCGGACGATCGGATCCAACGATCGACCGACCGATCGATCCCTCGTCATTAGCGTGTCGATTCATCCATCCCTCTTCGCGCGAGCATAATTAGAATAAACGTTCATTAATGTTCTCGCGATTTCGCAATCAGCTAACCGGCTGTATTCGTGCAGTTTCGAGAAGAATTTTTCAATTTTTGTCGGAGCGAGTTGAAGAAGAGGGTTTGAGATACGCGTGATGGTCGTTAACGATTTTCAACGTTCTTTTCGCGAGCGAAGAAAGAATCGTGTCGAGAAGGAAGCGACTATGAGCGAGAGATGGAATGAAGGAGGATGAATACATGAGAGAGGTGAAACAATTTCGAGAGATTGTTAAAAAATACGATTTATTTTCTTCTTTTTCACATCCCTAAATCGCGCGGAATTTACTTCAAATAATGGTTGCATCGTTGTTGACTGGTTTTGGAGGATGAGAAAAGATCTCTGGCCGATCGAAATTCGTGTTATCGGAAATCAGCCAAAACGAACGTTCACGAATCGCTATAGTTTTCGCGGTGCGCTCGCGATAAGCGTAATAAAGAGTGGGCTGATTTGCGCCCCGTCGATACGCGGCCTGTTATTCGTTTGTTTTACGCGTCATTGGCAAATGTGCGGTAAATCAGACACAGAGAACTCGTACATCGACCAGGAATCCGATTTCGAATCCAGCTGTCGCGAATATATCTTTCGACCAGCGTTTTCCTAAATTTTTTTCATCCATTCCGATTTTCACAAATAAATGAATAATAAAAAAAACATCAAGCCTGAATAAGGTTTACGAGTTGTCACTAGCTCCCGAATTTTCGATCATAAATGTTTATATCCACGCCGACGTGCATAAAGATCGAAAATTGAACTGCTCATCGAATACGCTGGTGCACACATGTATTATCCATATTATCAGCGATTATTTTCCTAATTATAGCGTAAAACGACGCGTAAAATTAAAATTATGGAATTATTAGAACAGAAAAAAAAATCGTTACACTTTTTAGTAAAAAATCCTAGAAGTTGTCGTTCTTATCATTGCAATTTCGTTCGATTTCAATCGAATATTCCGATTAGTCAGAACGGTTTTTTTACCTTTTCCTACAATTTTTGTGGATTGATCCGTTGTTCCGTGCCGTACATCTATCCGAATTACAGTGAATTGTCAAACCGGTGGCGGCCTCGCGTAAACTGTACGAGCACGAGTAGTAATAGGTTGCGCTAATCATCTCGGCGAATGCGACATTAATTTTCATTGGGCCGGGACCTTAGCTGTCGTGTACCTTTCGTCGCCGTCCCATTGCCAACAATGTCGCGCGACATTACCGCGCTCAACCTCCCCTCCCCTTCCCTCCTCTGCATCCACCCCTCTTTACTTTTTATCGTATTTCCCGGGGAGAAAATTGGCCCCCGTTAGCCAACGGCCAACGCCAACGCTCTGAAATCGCGGCAAACTTATTAGATTCCCTTCCCCCGCCGCCGCAATGGGGGATATTTGCGGAATTTTCTCATTATACTACCAGATATTCACCGGAAACTTGAAAAATTATCACGGTTAATCTCACCGTGCCGAGATAGAAATTGATGCGCCGCCCCAATCATTTTTCCGCCGCTTATTAGGGGAGATGCTTTTAAATTCGACTCGTGGAGATCGGCCGAGCATCGTTCTAGTTAATGAAGTCGAGTCGATACGACTCGGAGGGAGGAGGGTCTCTCTCTCTCTCTCTCTCTCTTTGCACAGGTGTGTGTGTGTGTGCGCGCCACTTCGACTTGGTCGACCGCCTCGCCTCTTCGTTCCGCAACCCGTTCCCCTTTGGATGCTACGGCGTTATAGTCGAGGGTTAACAGTTTAATGAATATCTAGGAAAAAACGAGTCGGAAAGTCGTTTCGAACAGATGAGACAATCGTTTTATTCTTTTTCAAAGAATTTTTTAACAATATATATATATATATATATATATATATATATATATATATATATATT